CAAAGATATTCCCTTAATCTTCTCGGTAATTTTCTAGATTTGTTTCCAAAAAAAACACTCTCCATAGGCAAGACTAATGTCTAGAAATGTCCAGACATTTCTATATTTTTCAAGACTAGCCTCATGTGTAAATCTATGGCTCACCTGCACATGTCATGATGTAGCGACCATACATACAGAGAATAGAGAAACAGGATGGGCTGTTCCGTCAAAACGCCAGGTGCCACATTGATCAAACAACGCCATTATTACCCGATAATTGATTTAATGATGTAGTAAGCTATTTCATCCCCGGACTGGATGGGAAGGATACACATTTAATGACTTCTGCTGAAGTTCAGACATCAATGAGAGAAATAATGCCTGGGACAAAAGACTAAAGTACAGGCTTTTACAGAGGGTTAAAAATCCAATATCTGACACAGGAGTGAAAAGTGTAATTGTGAGTTGTTTTCCTTGTAATGGTTTTCAGGCAGACGCGCTCATGCTAGACTTGCCGGACCACTCTATCAATATCCGACCGGGACTCCAACATGCCCCAGCCAAGAGAAAGAGCAATCACAACCTACTCCTCGAGTTGTACATAGTTGGCAGGGAAGAGCCCCTTCTGGCCCTTGTACTCGCCGAACCACCAATCATCATCGGGGAATTCCTGGTGTTGAGTTAGCGATGCCGTTGTTTGACTAGGACGTCTGGCTAAAAACAAGCAAAAAGGAAGAAAAAGACGAAGGAGTAAAAAGGACTGCAAGATGTTCCACTTACGATGTTGACTATTTGAGCACCCTCCGGGAAGCTGAGCTCATTGTCCTCCGCAGCCTCATAGTCATACAGTGCCATTGCAACCGGCTGTGCGATATCTTTCATCCCCCCAGGACTGTGGGCAGGAACGACTGGAGAGATTTCCTGGGGTTCTTCAGCTCCAGAAACTGGTGCGAGGTGTTCTAGCTGGTTTTCTTTGACGAGCTCAACATAGTTGCTGGGGAAGAGACCCCGCTCGCCACGCGCATTAGAACCGAGCCACCAGTCCTTGTCGACCATCTCTATACCAGACACATACTCTCCCTCCTTCAGGTCTATTTCATTGTCCTCTGCCTTCTCATAATCATACTGAACAATAGCCTGGAGCGCCTCGCCTTGAGGACGGTCAACGACTGTAGCTTTTGACGTTTCCCTACCGATATCAATGGCAGTATCCTCGAGCCCTTCATCATCCGGTACCGCCTGTTGGAGGCTTTGTGTCGGCATGACGGGAGGTGGCGAGTATTGTTCGTCGTGAGCATCGGCAACTTCTCCTCGTCCAACCGGCACGGCAACGCGAATTGGAGAAGACTCACGTACGGGAAGCGGCGTTGGAGGAGTAGGGGAACGAGGCTGTTGAGGAGGGCTAGGTATAGGCTGATGAGCTTCGACGTCCGAGGATTCCTCCGGGTTCATCCCATGTGAATTATATGGTGCAGGTAATCCATTTTCGGAACCAGGTATGCCGACTGGCTCTTCATCGGGAGAGGGACTCATGCCTGCAGCACGTAATTTCTGATCCTGGCTGGTAAAGTCTGGCTGGCCAGGCAGTGACGTTTCCAGTCCAGTCGTCAATTCCTGCCCTTGCTGGGAGATACCACGGTCCGCAGAGTTGCCCGTAGGCGTAGTCTGAACGGGGGCCCATGTCTTGCCATTGTACGAACTTTTCCATTCTCCCTTGCTGCCGCCCTGGCCACCGCTTGCTGCTGATGGGCTAGGGGCAGGACCTTGCCCTCGTTCTCGGGCCTTTCTTTCAGCCCACTGCTGCGCAGGAGTCTTTCCTCCTTCGTCTGCAAACGTTCTGCTTGCAATGCCAACCTGTGTGGCAGGAGGGACCGGGCTTGAGACGAAGCCACCGGGCAAGGGTGCCTTTGTGCCTGTAAAAGTTGAGCTTAGCCCGATTTTGTTCGCAACCTTCGGCTTGGGTAAAGTCGTCAAACGCTCAGGCTGATCGGCTAGTCTTGGAGAATCCAAATATCTAACCCTTTCACTACGCGATTCAACAGGGTTGCTTGAGACGGACTGGTCAACTGATGATTCAGGTTGCTTCTGCGCCTTAGAACGAATAGCAGCAATGTCGACCTTACCAACCGGCTCATATGCGCCTCTCACAGGCTCGGGTCGGTCTTCTTTCAATCCTCCTGCTTCCCGTGCTTGTTTCCTGATTGCAGCGATATCCACTTTGCCTATCGGCTGATAGCCACCCTTAACAACATCATTGTTCTCTGTAACGGGAAGCTCATGGTAGTGGGACGTTCTGGGCTGATTCTGAGATTTGATTGCCTCTATGTCAACCTTAGTTGGCTTGTACGCGGACTGAACCTTCTCAAGTTCCGTCCTGGTAACCGGGGGCGCATCTGGACCCCAGCCATTATCATCGCCGCTCATTCTTGGAACCACCCTAGTGGAAACATTCGCCACGGTCTTCGAGTCTACCGCACCAGTTCTGGTGGGGGTAAATGCTGGTTTGCTTGCAACCGAAGGCGTTTTGGGCACAGCAGTGACTGGCGAAGCCCGCTCTGGTGTGTATTTCGCACCAGAAGCATCTCCGACCTTCTGTATTATTCCCTCGGGTGTCAAATCTCCCTCGGTGCGTGCAGTGATTTGGACATGATAGTTCTGGAGTAGCCTAATATCAGAAAATCATGTTCATCTAACCTGTAGAAGGGGACACTGACGGATAAAAACGTTGAGACAGCAGACAGGTGGCTTGTAAAGTATCCTTTCGTTCGTTCTGGGACGCCCTCCCCACACCATCCGATGAGGACATTCTTCGGGAGACCAGTGTTTGGATCAGTGACTTTGACGAAAGCGAACTGGATCTTTCCTTCCGAAAACTCGTCAATGAGATCCTCGAGCTCACCAGCTGCGGGATTAGGTATCAGCATTCGAGTTGAGCCTCGAGTAATATGTGACTAACCCCCGGTATTCTGGACCTTCAAGACGCTTTCCTTGCTATCTGAATTCCTCTGGAAGGCATTGACCAAAGGCGTTGAGACAGAGAATACTGCCCATTGTCCATAGGTAGCGCTGCTGGTAGGTAGCGAACAATCGATTACAGACCGATAACTCTTGGTAATTGATGGCCCGTTCGACGAGAGATTCAGAGATGCCATATCGCTGAGAACTAGTCGCTGGATAGTGTCGAGGATGTGTGGATCAAATAAGTGGTGCAATGATAGTTGCTAACTACAGTTGTTTTAGTTGACTAGTATTGCAAGGTGCGGAACAGAATTCATGGAGAATGAATAAGTGTGATGCAGGTAACTAAGGTAAGATTAGGTAGGTCACTTAGCAGGGATGAGGAGGCCAGGTGTATTTCTAACATTAGGTTAATGATCTTACTACCTTAGGTAAAGGTAAATCAACAAAGTACCTACATTTGGATACTAGTATTAATATTATTAGTACATATTACTATCTAATCCATAACAGTTGATACCCCATACGCACAGGAATAAAAAAAGTCATACCATCTATACAGATACCTACCTACCTTACTCTGTAAGCTAGTCCGGATAAATGGCTGCCTTACTTTACTAACTTATATATAATAGGGAGCCTGTATCTCTCTAGGGAGGCAACATAGTTACCTTAGTACTGCAGTATGCTGATTACATCATAATATTAAGTAAATTGAGGGGCGCCAAGAGGTGATCATTGTAATGGAAGGAGTTCTCTGTACAATAGATATGGCCTGTTCTTCAGGTACGCTACCACTCTGCTGTATTCTCTAATCTGTAATGATGGATATATTAAATAAACAATAGGGTTTATAATCATTATCAGATGCATGGCGAATTGAGAGTTAGTTATTATACCTAAGATTTAGCTAAATAAACCCATTGTAGGAGCAAGATATGACTCCGTATGACCCAACCTGGCTTGTAATATTTTAGTGACTGTGAGTGGTAAGGTAACCTGACTGATGTAGCCTTAATGATGCTTTCCCCTAGCTGCCTAGGGTACATTATGTTGTCCAAATCCCCCACATCTATCTTATCAGGTAGATAAGGTGGCTATTTAATACATACACATGGTAGATTATGTGGGCAAAGATGCTATATATATAGGTGGTGTGTATGAAGTATATATAGATAGAGGTGTGACTGAAGCAACATAATTAGGTACTGATGTATATGGGCCTGTAATAACATATATAACATGTATAATAATGACAACACTGCTTATTTAGTTTTGGTGCTCATACCTTTTCCTTTTTCCCCCTTCCCCCCTAATCAGACTTAATTCTGGGCCCACAAAGCCACAAAGCCACATAGGCTCAAGCACTGATCTTCTTACAGAGAAATGAAGGGTCAGTACCTTGGCTTCCTCGTGAAATAATCAGATAGGGTTGAAACAAGGAAGAGCATACAAACTTTCACTTTTCACCATGATAAAGATAAAGAAGGTGATCCTTTGCCGTCTTAGACTGATTGGTGACTAGGATAATTGGCCAGGTGTAAGTACAATAACTGAAAGTCGTGCTGCCCTCCCAGCCTCCCTGGAGCCTGATACAGCCTGTGTCTGACATATGTATTGCTGGTATTATTAGAGACTGTCAATCATTTGGTTCAGACTTTTTGACATTGTTCATATCTTACAAATACTCCCGTGTTTGACTGGTACCATTTGCTCTGGACTGTTTATAGAAGGTAGATGTCAGAAAACTGATAAGCCAGGGCACTACCTAAAAAGTGTATCCTAAGTAAGGTACATATTGCGAACAACCTACTTTAGCCTCTTGATAGAGGGGTAGATCTAATTTCCTTATCTTCAGTGGAAGCAGTTTTAATATCCCGCTAGTACCCCAGGAGTACGCGGTGAGACTTCCATGTGACCCTACTGCTGGATCCGTACTAATCTGCAGTACAAAAGTTTTTCTGGGAAGATTTTGGAAGAGTTCCAGACCGTAAGGTACAATCGCTGACAGGTCATCCCTGTTTTCATTCAAACCTTTCCCTGACACCCACTCGGTCGAAATGGATAATGCGCATGACCTACAAGCTAGCCCTGAAAGCTCAACTGTCGACTTAAAACATGACCGCGATGAAGAAAACACACAACAGGCAGATGTTGACAGCTCTTTATCTGCAACTGTGACAGATAGTCTTGACCATGTACTCCCAAGGGATAGAGAGATGAAAACACCGACATATGATTATGCCTACGAGAAGTCGATGAGTCACACAGAAGCAAAACTCTTCTACCAGCATCATCAATTAGTGTCGCGCGGCGCCGACAGTGAGTCTGATCAGTGTTGGGGCCTTACGGGCAGGCCTTCTGCCTCTGACATACCATCAGCTAAAGAAGAGACGGACGGAAGGCCTCAGACAGGCGTACTGGGCTCGAGTAATTCCACGCAGTTTAGCACGCCTACTTCGGCATACGCTGAAAATACCAGCACCAGTACCGGCCAGCTTCCACTGTCCCATGATGCAATGCATCATGAGATTTCAAATGAACAAGGATCGGGTTACATGCAATTCGCCACTGAGGTTCCAGGTGCTATCAAAAGTGCTATGAATATGACGGGCAGCGGCACGGTTGCCTCGGAATTAAACATCATCTACCGCAAGATTCGCGGGCTACTTGAGCGACGTGCCGAATATATCCAACTGTCATCACAGGGTCCTGAGGATAATCCCAAAGATCGTCCCAATTGGAGGATTTACCCTCCCCCGCCAGAACCGGCCTGGGATGCTGATGGAGAGAATGGGAAACAAGAATCCTCTCCTGGTGCCGGGCCAAAAAAAAGAAAGATGGGCCAGGATATTGGTGAGGACTTCGACATGGCTCACTTCATTCCGCTCCCGGGAGAGTCAAGTTGGACTTTCAGACTGGATGAAAATAGTGTCTACCAAGTGTACGAAAATATCGAGGCTGCAAATGTGCACAAGCCTACCATCAGAATACCTTCATTGCGTGATTTTTATATGGACCTCGATGCAGTCATAGATGTATCCACAGACGGACCGGCCAAGAGCTTTGCGTTTAAACGCCTTTCTTATCTGGAGGGCAAATTTCAACTCTACACGCTGCTCAATGAATATCAGGAGATTGCTGATAGCAAAAAAGTACCACATAGAGACTTCTACAACGTCCGGAAAGTCGACACCCATGTCCATCACTCGGCTTGCATGAATCAGAAGCATCTCCTCAGGTTCATCAAAAGCAAAATGAAGAAGTCACCTGATGAGGTTGTATTATTCCGGGATGGTAAACATTTAACGTTGCGGGAGGTTTTTGAAAGCATAAACCTAACAGCTTATGACTTGAGCATTGATACGCTGGATATGCATGTATGTATCATTCCCACAAGTCTTTCGTCTTATAACTCTCCCTTCTCATCAATTTGCAGGCGCATACGGATTCCTTCCATCGCTTTGACAAGTTCAATCTCAAATATAATCCCGTCGGGGAGTCTAGGCTGCGTGAGATCTTCTTGAAGACGGACAATTATATTAAAGGTCGCTATCTGGCCGAGATCACAAAAGAGGTCATCTCAGATTTAGAGTCCAGCAAATATCAAATGGTGGAGTGGCGCATCTCAATATATGGGAGGTCGATTCAAGAATGGGACAAGCTCGCTGCTTGGGTCGTTGACAACAAATTATTTTCCCCCAATGTGCGTTGGCTAATACAAGTTCCTCGGCTTTACGACGTCTACAAAGCAAGCGGCATGATGGAGAACTTCGAGCAAGTCATCACAAACGTTTTCCAGCCATTATTTGAGGTGACCAAAAATCCCAGCAGCCATCCCAAGCTTCATATCTTCCTCCAGCGTGTGGTCGGATTCGACAGTGTGGATGACGAAAGCAAAGCTGAGCGCCGGCTGTATAGAAAATATCCCATTCCTAGAGAATGGAATACGAAACAAAATCCTCCGTACAGCTATTGGATTTACTTCATGTTCGCTAATATCGCGTCATTGAATTTCTGGAGAAAGCAACGCGGCTTTAACACCTTCGTTTTAAGACCTCATTGCGGTGAGGCTGGGGATCCAGATCATCTTGCAGTTGGTTTTCTCTGCTGCCACAGCATCAGTCATGGGATACTGCTTAGAAAGGTCCCTTTACTGCAGTATTTGTTTTACCTCGATCAGATTGGAATCGCAATGTCCCCGCTCAGTAACAACGCGCTATTCCTGACATATGACAAGAATCCGTTTGCGAACTTTTTCAGGCGCGGCCTGAATGTATCCTTGTCAACGGACGATCCCCTACAATTTGCATTTACCAAGGAGCCATTGATTGAAGAATATTCGGTTGCTGCACAGATATACAAATTCAACGCTGTGGACATGTGTGAGCTCGCAAAACATTCAGTCGAGCAAAGTGGCTTTGAAATATCATTGAAGAAGAGATGGCTTGGTGCGAACTGTTCTCTTCGCGGGGTCGCAGGAAATAATGTCGCAAAAAGCAATGTGCCAGACATTCGGGAGCAATTCAGGCATGAAACATTACTTGGGGAGCTTGCCTTGTAAGTTATTCTCGTGCTTGCAGTCCACCATACAGACAGACATTTTAGGCCGAAAATAACACTTGCTGACGTATTAGGATTGAACGATATTCTGATCGTCATATTGACTGTTCAGCGAGACGACCAATTGTCCCTGCCACAAGCAGTCAACAAGAAGCACAGTCACGGGTTCCTCTGGATCCAGAGCAAGGAAACCCAGGCCATTGTAAGTTCAACATCGCAGGCATGAAAACTCGCTTTTAGAGTCTCTTATCCGATGATATTGGAGTCTTTGTCGTCTCATTATCACTGTTATTGGAGTCTTTGTCGTCTCATTATCACTGTTATTGTCGCCATTACCACCGTGTCCCTATGGTTGTCCTCTGTCCTTCGAGTGCTTGTACAGTGTAAGGTTTTAGTGTCTGTTTGGTCTGATTGCTAATGATGAACATGCAGCACAGCCTCCCATTAGCTCGGTCTTACCTCAGCTTCGATCCAATGCCAGTGAAGCAGAGGCTTTTCGAAACCTCTACTCCTCAGATATCACCAGGGCCGACGAGTCTGGCAACTCACTTGAAGGTACCCATCCCACAGGGCAAGCGGCAGCTTCTCCGGGAAGTCCACCAGAGCACCGAATTTTTCCTGGTATTGTTCATGAGAGAATCCGGAGAGATAGTAACAACATCAATAATGACTGCTGAATGTCATTCGAAAATAAGGTAGAGAGCATTGGCCATGCCAATGCTGGAGTTTCAATAATCCGAAAATAAACAGCTTTGACAATATCTGGTTACAAATGTTATGAACCCGATTTGAACAAGTTTGAAGTTAGCCGTCCACATCTTTAATATTGATATAATCCTTAATTCATGCCTCGATCGCGTTGTGATCTGGATACTAGGAATTACTATCTACTCTGATGTACTATCTACATAGCATAATACAATATGAAAAGCTTTACCTTAAGGAAAACAGATACGAAGCCAGGGTATAGAATTTCTTGTGCCTGGCTAAGGTACTGATAGGGATTATGGAACATGTGATACTGTAAACTGATAACTGGGAAGCCAGAAGAAATATACCATACAGCAGATCATTGAAGCATCGTGGCGCCAAAGGTGCTGAGAAGAAGGGGAGAGCATATCCTGCTGTAGGTGATCTGTGTTATTTTGAAGATATGTAGGCTAAAATAGTACATGGCAATTCGTAATAAGTCACTTACCTCCTCTGTATACATAATTATTACAGATATTTCCAAGCTACGAAAATGAAAAAAAGGAAAAAAAGAAAAGCTGCGCAGTATAACTGATATTTGTTTGGTGTTGAGTTCCAAGGTTAGAGGTCATAACCCTGGGCTAGTATGTGCATGGACCAAGAACAATATCCGCAGTATTAGTATTTTCAGGTCAAAATTTCATTAAATTGCCCAGCTCCCTCTCCTCTCAAGCACACCCCATGTGTCATGATCATTATCATTATCAGAGCTAGGTTGTGATCTTGCCCAGTCATGAATATACAAACGTAAGGCCACCCAACGGGCACAGACCTGTCTAACGACCGGCCCATTTGCTGAACCATCTTCATTGACTTGAAGGTAGCCCCTAGCAAGAGCAGACGTATCATCCTGTCTGAGTTCCTCCACAGGGATGCCTGACACCCTGCTAAGCTCATGGTCGTAGTAACGTGCAACACAAGGATAACCTAGAGATAAGTAGTTATAGATCTGGGTCACAAAATTATCGTGAATCCCAAAGCAGCAATCATGATGTTCATTGTCAGTGTCACGACGCGATAATTCTCCTATATCTAAAGCCAGATGACAAGAGGAACTAGAAGTAGATTGGTCCTGGTCCTGCTCATCGCTGCATACTTTAGGTTGACACTCATTGTTGTTATAGCGACGAAAATTGTCTGTCACGCAGGCTAAAGATCCTTTGGATTGTTGAGCATGCTTGTAATTGCAACATGTTCCCTTCCAGAGACCAGTAGTTGCATCATCTTGCACATGATCAGGTTCTGTACACCAAAGACCAGAATCATTGCAGACTCGATGTCTGGGATCAGTAGCAGAGTCCCGCACAGAKCCACTCTCACACATCGTCGCTTCGGGAGATAAACTCTGTGGGAAGACAAGGTCATCGCCTAGCATAGGTGGACGCGCGAGATGCCTGGAGAGATCTGGCTCATAGTTTCCTCTCCAACAGCCATTATCGATTCCGTTGTAAAACTGTCGGGGGTTGAACATCACGGACGAAAGGAGTGTCCCCTTCGTACCTGCCATAGCACGATCCCTCATTTCGGCATCCTCCTTATGCCGGCGCATATGTTCAAGTTCCCACGGAAGATCGGTTGATGATTCCCGCCTCGATACATGCAAAAGTGTGTTTTTCGTGTCCTCATTGGAACATTCTTCTTCATCCTTGTCGATTGCAAAGTGATCCACAGGCTCATAGACTTGTTCATTGGGAAATGCTGCAAGTGCCTGCTCCTTCAGTTGATTTTCCACCGACTGAGCTGCGAGAGAAAGAAAGTACTCCGCCATATGACCAGTTTGACGACTGTTTTCGGCTTTTGAGTGATGAGCGGATACATTGGATGAAACGGAGGGAGACGCCGATAGCGACGGTATTTCCGACCCCTCCGAGGCATCACTGCAGCTGGAAGGAATTGCAGGGAGGTCTGGCACTCGAAAAGAGTGGCTTCTTGACTCCTGGCGCTGTTGAAGACTAAAGTATGAAAATTTAGATTCGATTGTGGCAGAGTAAGCATCTGAGTTCGGATAGGTGGAGGTGCCGCTTCGTGTTCGAGACCCGTTGTCATACCCGTCTACAGGAGCTTCAGACAAAGTACGCGACGTTTCCTTGCGGCGAAATGAACGTTTATTGGTCTCAACAAGCTGAGGCGCAAACTTTCTAGGGCATGGTTGCATCTGGAGTACGACCTTTTTGGCAGCCGAACTCGAAACAGGGTAGTGTAGTCGGTCTCTGTTCGTTTTGGTGTCAACCGAATTGTGCCTTGTCAGCTGCCACTGGGAACGGCCGCAGATCCGGTTGTCACTATCCTCAACATCATTCGGTATCAAGGAGTCGTCCTGCGGTTGTTGTGAACTCTTGACATCGTGGGGCGAGACTGGCCGTGTATCTGCAATGAGTGTTCGTGCTGGCTTGCCTGATTCAGCCCCCTGCTCCACAGAGGAGGCCTGCGCTGAGGAAGGTGACTGATGATTCCGTGAACTGCGAGATGACGTTTCAATCACACTAGGTAGAAATTTCCTGACCCTTTGGGGTGTTTCCTTCGTCTGCTCCGACATTGTCTTAGGTATTTTGATAATACAACGGCGTGTAGACACTTCACAAGGAGCTAGGGTGCTTTGCAACTGCCGAGTGCTGCCATGTTCTAATAAGATGACTTTGTGGGCAAATCCAAGACAAGTGCAGTCTAGCCCTCAGGCAGGCATAGTTGCAAAGTATAGTAGATGTCACCCTGATTGTCTCATCCGGGGCGACTCTCCTTTCTTTTTCTGTAGTATCAGATTATATTTGACTGAAGGCTGCCATAGTATGACTGCTCACGTAGCCTCCACAAGAAGCGATTACGTTGTCTATACAGGATGGTCTCGAAGTTCAAGGTCCCAATGGGCATGACAAATATAATTAGGAACGTTTGATAAAGAGTGCATATCAAGGTATAGCACCCTGGCATTTTAGATGTGATGACTAACTCTGTATGAGACTATCACATGATGCTAAGTTGCCAAATTACAGCAAGCCAGTGGTTGTAAAGGATCCAGCCAGATTCTGGTATTCCCACAGGGCCAAAAAGGCTAAATATTGCCATGGCTCTTTGAACCATGTATCCACTGGATTCACACATCCACCCCCCCTTAAGGTTGAGCAAACACCGCCTGCAACTAGGCTGACTATAGAGAAGGGAATTCCCATGGGACTATGATACTGGGATATTTGTAGTCACAAGGGATGTGAAGCCTTTGAAGAGTGTAAAGGATTAAGGGTAGGGGGTAGGCCAGCGGCCGCCCTGTACATACCTTGTCAACTTCAAGGGATTCCAGTCTTCTTTTATATTTCGACCTTACGATTCTTTGTATACTGCTTGAAGATCACTGATTGCTCAGGCAATTCACTTGTCAACATTACTAAGCGAGGTGATCCAATTACACCCCCTATGTATCAAATAAAGAACACACTCAGCCATCACCATGGTGATTTCAAAATAACAGCACAAAGAACAATTCAGTTAATTCCATGGATCATTAATAAAGAAATAATTATATCTAAATGCCAGATTTAGAAATTAATATATCTTAGTTATATCTACATGGTTGCTTCAGCAGGTGCTGACTAATTTCCTATAATAGTGGCTGACTAAGAACTCTGCAGATAAAGTTCAGTCTAAGCAGGGGAGGATGTGATATCAACTAGGATAGATATGACTTCAGGGAAGTCTATTAGATATATAATAATATCTAGTTATTATCATTACTCTTTATATAGCTAGTTAGACCTTATATTCCTTCTTAGCCTAGGTTAAAATATAAAAGAAGACTAGAATCCCTTAAAGTTAATAAGACATATATACTATATAGGGTAGCTACTAGCCTACCCCCTATTCTTATACTCTTTAAATAGTCTATATCCTTAATAACTATAAATATCCCATCTAGTAGTATATCTAGATTAGGTAAATATATAATACTTAATTCCTAGGAAGATTTGAAACCCCTTATAAAGGATTAATCTAAACTATAGCAGGCTCTAAAGGCATTATCTACTAACTGATGGTAGCTCTTTATGGCGATGCCTTTATGAAGGGGAAGATGATGTTGATTCTTAACTAACTGCTAACTAAAGGTAACTTGTAAAGCAAGGTGTTATATAATAAATAATAATAACTATGAATATATAACAGTATCCCACCAAAGTAAAAAAAAAAGAAAAAAAAAAGATATTGGTGTAAGATGAAGATGTGCTGTAGTGGAAAAGCAAGGGCATTCTATAGCTTAAAAAATATTAGATAGGTGGTTATATCTGTGTTAAGGCTCACATGCATAGCTCATCTCTCTTACCTAATTCTATCTTAATCATCTCTCCTTGCTTATATACATAGCTTATCTCTCTTATCTAATTCTACTTTAATTATCTCTCCTTACTTATATATATAGCTTATCTCTCTTATCTAATTCTATCTTAATTATCTCTTCTTACTTATATATTGGGATATTTGTAGTTGTTA